GTCAGCATACAGGCACAATTCACTTCTAGGTCTACATACTAGGACACTGCTTATGTCCTTTAAATAGCACAAAAATAGCAATGGTCCTAGAATAGACCCTTGAGGCACTCCATATTTTATTGTTTTAATTTCTGAGGCAGTTTGAATAATTTTATTATTTTTTAATTGAGTAATTTCAACATGTTGTGTTCTATTACTCAGATAGGAATTAAACCATTGCAATGCATTTTTAGTTATTCCAAGCAATTTCAATTTATTCAATAATATTGGATGTTTTACACTATCAAAAGCTTTAGATAGATCCATGAATATGCCAATTGTTGTTTCACCTCTATCAACCGATTCAATAACTGACTCTAAAAATGATACTGCTGCAGTGACTACCGACTTTCCAGCCCTAAAACCATGCTGGTAATCATCAAGTAAGTTAAACTTTTTAAGATAATCACTCAACTGATTGTAAACAATTTTTTCATAAATTTTGGAAACAGTTGGAAGAAGTGAAATGGGTCTGTAGTTTATTACATCTGTCTCATCATCTTTTTTATGCAGAGGGATAATTTTTGCCTTTTTTAATTGATCTGGAAACAAACCAGAAATGAAGGAAGAGTTTATCAAGCGAGCCAAAACTTAACTGATATTATGACCTACTTTCTTAAGTAAATTAATAGGTACATCATCATGCCCGCTAGACTTTTTGTTCTTTAGCGATTTCAATACGTTTTCCACCTCCTTCTCACATGGCCATTCAAAAAGGAAATGTCACCAGCATCATTGGATCCTCACCCGCAGACAATGACCTTTCATCGATATTTTATTTGTAGAATTATTGTAGAAATTTGTATACTAGCAATAAATTGTTTTTTATGTTATTTGTGATATTATGCGAAAGTTTGATAGTTTACTTTTTTTTTTGTTTAGGTGCAGTGGGAGGATATTATGGCTATTGTAGAATATGAGAATGTTATCGTAGAAGTCTTTTACTAACAAACCGTTAATTTAAAGAACAGAATTTTCTCAAATTGTGTCCTCCCCAATGCAAACGTAAAGCACGAGTATAACACTACACTGCAATAAGAATTTTATACTTATACGCCAACCCCATACAAAGGACAGGTACTCTGCTAGTAGTGATATATTTTAAAACAAAATTAATAGTTAAAAAACTGTAGTAGGGTATCAATACTTTATTTAATTAGACTTTAAGGTTTTCCAAATATTCTCCAAGGGTATTCTTTTTTAATGTAATATTTTTTTATTGATCTTTGAATTGTGTAACTTTTAAACAAGAGTAGTTTGTTGTACAATCTTAGTCCCATATATTGAGGGCTGTTCCTGAGTATCATCAACTTGTGATCAGGTGAACATTGTACTTCTGTGTTTTTTTAGCTAAGTGCTTACTTTTGTAATGTAATGTAGCAGTTAGAATTTGACACTATTTGACATAGCTCCCTATAAAATGTTGCAAACTGTCCTTTAGTTGTCAACATCGGATGCACACAGTATCCCTTTCTTTTTCACTTAACATGCCCACAACACTGATGCACTAAAATGTCATCTTGACACTGAAGCTAGGTATAGCATTTGTTGTCGTAGTAGTGGTCGTGTCAATCTCTGGATGCATCGTGTACTAGGACAAGTCGAGGCTTTTGTCGTGGTCAGACTGGAGCGCCATTACCCTTAGTCTACTAACCTACTCCTCGAGTTGACGGCCATTACTCAAAACCAAAAGTAAAACAACCACCACATACCTTCCTTAAAAGAATAAAACCTGATAGGTTAAAGATGTGCATATAATATTAAAAGGCCAATATTAGTATGGTAGTAAAAAGCTTTAGGGATCTCCAATGTTTACTTGATGGCAATTCCCCTTCAGTATTATTCATTTTGTAAGTTAATATTGCATTGTTGAAATGGAATTTAGTCAATTTACGGTTGAATATTAATACTTTGATGGACATTTGAGTGAAATTTAAACAAGAATATTAAGGGGACTGTGACTGCCTATTTGATATAATGTTAACTATTATGCTATATAGATAACTATAATAGAGCCTCAATTTTAATTTTTTTTATTTTAAAGGTCAAATGTTTATCTAGTTCCTCATAGAAGATTTTAAAAATATATTTACTCTAAAATCCTTCTGGTGGTAACTAATTTGTTGTGTATAAAATATGTGGTAAAAATTTGGATATTCTTAGTCAAAAAGATAGGTGAGAAAAGTAACATCAAAGTAATGAAAAACTGACGTTCATAGTGTGAATGATTAGAAAGTAGCAGACGTACTGAACTGACTGAATGCTCAATTAGTTCATTGAATCAGATCGGATCTTCGGATCCGGATCCAAATTTTTCAAGATCCGGATCCAAATTTTTCAAGATCCGGATCCGAATTTTTCAAGATCCGGATCCGGATCCGGTACCGACATTTTCTTGGATCCGCCCATCACTAAGGCTACGGCCACACGGGCGTTTTTTCACGCAAGAACGCAGCGTGAAAAAACGCAAGAAATATGAGCAGCATTAAATGTAATGAGGTATGCCACACGCAGTGTGTTTTCCCGCATTAGCGGTCGCCTATTTGTTTCAATGCTACTCTAATTTTTCGCGTGTTTTCACGCTGCGTTTGTGCGTGAAAAAAACGCCCGTGTGGCCGCAGCCTAAAAGATAACTATAATAGAGCCTTAATTTAATTTTTTTTTATTTTAAAGGTCATATGTTTATCTAGTTCCTCATAGAAGATTTTAAAAATATATTTACTCTAAGTGATATCTTTTGAATTTTCAAAAATTACCATTTTTTTTATAAAAAATTAGTAATGAAACTTTTTTTATTAAAACTTGTGTGTTTCATAAATCAAAATCCTTCTGGTAGTAACTAATATGTTGTGTATAAAATATGTGGTAAAAAATTGGATACTCTTAGTCAAAAAGATAGGTGAGAAAAGTAACATCAAAGTAATGAAAAACTGACGTTCATAGTGTGAATGATTAAAAAGTAGCAGACGTACTGAACTGACTGAATGCTCAATTAGTTCACTGAATCAGACCTAGGAGAGCTTAGTGTCATCGTGTGCTTGCTTAAAACTGCAAACTACCTGATCGCCCGATGGTGGTATGGTAGCTCTGTCGGCTAAAGCATTGCACTGACGAGTGTAGCGCTGAGGTCTTTCTACATGCGCGAGTTCGTTTCCCGACGTGTGCAATCCTGACTAAGCTCAATAATGTGTGGCTAAGCTGGCTGGAGAGGCCCACCTTAAATAAACGGTGACTGGCTTGGGTGGAAGTTGACGGCATTATTGAGTTTAAAATGGATTGCACACAACACCTGTTATGCCACTTTTTACTATAGAGGAGGACACACTTTTTTTGCTTTATTTCAGTGTGTTTCATACATATCTGATACCAACAATAACATGACTTAACGTAGAAAAAACAAAAGGATAAGAAATAATTTTTTTTAATTTTCAAAAATTGTTCAGTCACAGTCCCCTTAATCTGACTGGATAGAGGTAGAAAGAGGGATTTGTCCCTTTGAGTTTCTGTTCCATTTCTAAGAAACTCACTTAGTACCTATGCTGGTTTACCATGTTGGATGTAAATACAATAACTACAACATATGTTTTTGCACATTTGGAAAAGGGGAAAGTGATGTAAATGAGAATCATTTGTCTTTAACAAGTTTACTGTGAGTATGAGCGAGTCTACAGCCAAGCCAAACGAGTACAAAAGGGTGGCTAGCAATCACACAAAACAAAAATCAATGGGGTCAATGGTTTATTTCATACTTTCTAAACAACTATGCAATATAGATTAATATTATCCTAATATATTATAATTAATTTATATTAATAACCATAATAGTATGAATCGGATATGATAGACAAAAATTACAATTACTCTTTTCTATAATAGCGGAAAATTATTTACAGCAGTTAAAAACAAAATGAACATTTTCAGGTCATACTCAAAATTATTATAGACAACAAAATGGCCAAATCATACGGGTCGAAACTTTGGCCCTCATTGGCATACGGTACTTAACATTTAACACACGTTTTGTACCATTCAATACACTAGCACCAACAAAACTGAATCTCTCTCAAAATTTGATTCAAAAGCGACTGGCACTGGAGTATAGATGCGGTAACTGCTCTACTGGCAAGTACAGCTACGCCACTCTGGCCCTATTCTTTTGTTTGATTAGCTGATGTTAACATGCAGGTGAAAACTGTGTAAGGACATTTAACTGTAGGCTTCCTATACACAGGTTCAAGTTGTATACAGGTGTATAAGGATGTGCATAACTTATAAATATAAACAATTGAGACTTGAGGTAATCCAAAGAATTCAGATTACCAGGTGAGAGTAAATCAAATAATTTTTTAGTAAAAATGTGGTTATTCGCAGTTGGAACAGAGTGCAAATTGTAAATTATCCAATATTAAGTTGGCACCGAAGATAGATTGGCAATTCAACATTTGGTTTGAGCGGATGAATATAGTTTAAAGAATATTTCTGTTTTCACTGTATTTGGTAAAGGAATATAATTCACAACACAAAGTGCGAGTGAAGTGCTTTTGAATTGCAATAGTGACAGTAATAGTTAAGTACAGTGAAGGAAACATCGAATGATTTACTGTCCAGTGCGACTTTTGAACAAATGCTATAAACAACGTCAACAGAATTAAAGAGGCGTAGGCCTGTGATGTCAAACATACATCTATCCTGTATGTACAGTCCACTAAACGATTAACTGATAGTAGCACACTTTACAAAAGATTCTATATCAAGACTAACTACGTTGGTTGTCATTTAAAATTATCTACAAAAAGAAATGGTTTCCGAAAGAATTGAACTTTTGGAGCGGTGAAGTAATAAAAAATCGACTACAAATACTCGTACATACACATGCGCTCGTAAGCTTTACAAGTCTATACAGAAGTTTCGTACACTTGGTTTGATAATTTGTATACAGTCGGTGCAGAAAGAAACGCTAATGAGCCATTAGGTTGTTTATTCGCCAATCAATATGATATGTGAACACAACATGATCCTACGGTGCATTTCAGATATCTGTGTCGCCTAAGTAGGGTTTATACTAGGTCCCTAGCGAGTATCGTTATATAATATAGAAATTTGTTCTAACATAGATGGAGAGGCTAAAGCACAACAAATAAGCATCCCTATTATCTACAGCACCTCTGAAGAGGTCAAAATTCACCATTTATCTGTTCTCCCTCACATTGCCCATGTGCAAACTCCCATCTCATAAAGTAGTGACTTATATTAATCTTTTAACTAGAATTTCAACAAATTACTTTTGAGTATTCCTCAATCTATCCAAATTGAAGGATATTTTTATTACCGTCAATAAATGTACAAATGACAATCTTTTCATGTGTACAACTACAAAATACCATTTGAAAAATTGAAATCAATAATAAGCATGCTAAACAAATACACTGTACAATATATAAATCAAAGGCAATATCCAACCGTGCTTGGGTTTAAATAAAAATAATGATGATAATTTAAAGCTTAAAAAATACATCTGTACTAACAATAAAATGAACAACAAATTAAATGTAATAAAACTCATAATAGCTACTTTCAGTAGGCCCTAATAATATTGCCTATTTATAAAAGGTAAAACTGCTTCCTTATTTACAAAAAAATCCATAAAAATATTTTTAACTAAAATATTAATAAAATATTCACAAATTTAAAAATGTTTCTTACTAACAAACTGATAATCTGTCAATTTAAAAGCATAAATATATAATTCAAATGGTTTTTATAACATAACAAAACTTAAATAAGTAATTACATTACTTAAAGGGTTACATTTTTGGTCCCGGCGGATCAAAAACCAAGTTAAAAGATTAATACTCAATTTTAATGCAATTCAAAGAATATCTATGACATAAAAAGTCTACCAGAATGTTTGTTCAATTCTTGTACGTTTTAGTACTTGCAGTAAGGCTTTTAAAACAAAAATCAATAGGATGCCTCTAGTTTTGAATGAAAACAAATGTAGAATTCGACTCTATTGCACTTGAGAAAAACCGCATGTCATGATCACAGAAATACATGTAAAGCTCATCAGACTGAGAAATGAACTAAACCAACTAGACGGTCTAGGAATAGTACAAGCCAGGCATCTAAGAAATCACACTTTGACAAGAACAATGAAATAACAAAAGAAGGTTGGGCATTAAAAAAGTCGTACAAATAATATTACGCAGTATAATCCCGTAAATAAAATTTATGTAATGCCAAAATAATACAAATAAATAAAATACACGTCGAACATAGTCTATTCTTTAAAAAGAATAAGAACTTAATATGGTGAAAACAATGCCGGTACAAAAAATATAACTCAATCGGAGAAGATTTAAAATCTGTACAATTGTGTAACGAGTCGGAGAAGATGAGCTGAAGCGAACGACTCTTCCCGTCCAGGTTTGGTCACCATCACCTGCCTCACTGCAACATACAACCACCAAGATATAGACAACAACATAAGCTACATACATTTCATAAGTCTCACCTATTTTATTTTTAAACATCTTTTTTTAGAACTGAATATATACAAATTGTAGACAACTTAATAATAAAATACCCCCACTGCAGAAACCTGGAGACTAAGCGAATTTCCATTTATATGATTGGATCTTTTTAAATAGCTCTAGGTTTAACAAGCACCTAGGTTTGCTGCTACAGGGAGTTTAATAAAGTGATAGTAAAATAATTAGGGGTGTGCAAATAGTGATTTTCAACCTCGAGCCGAGCCGAGCCGAGCTTTTTCAAAAATTTTCGAGCTCGAGCTTTTTTGAGCTGAGCTTTTTCTAGCGTCACCTTATCTAAATTATTAAACTTTTTTTCCCTAAAAAATTGCATAATAATAATGTTCAGTCAATTTTTAAATAAACACAATGTTATTTTAATATGTTTAAAAACATTGAGAATTGTCAAGACATCAAATAGTAGATAATCAAGGTAAGAACTGAACTGAACTAAATTAAGATGCAAGAAATAAAAGGATAATTGAAGGCCTGACGAGATATGCAGTGCAGACTGAGCTGAGACAATTGGATTGTCTTTCATAACAGAACAGCAACGCAACCTTGAATGACGACAAAACAACTAGCAAGTCGATTACATTATTATGTATATTGTAACTACTATGAATATTTAATTCTATTTTGTATAAATACAAAATAAATTTAAAAACACGTTATTATTCTTGTTGTTTTCCATGCACAAAATATTTAAGTTTTATCAATCGTATTAATCAAAAAAGAACATAGTTGGTTTGGATCCAAAAAGGTGGAGAGACAAGTAAAAAGTAAACTTATATTAAAAAAGATATAATTGACATATGGAGGAAAGGAAATAGACCAAAACACTAAAATTAATAGAATAACACACAAAGTAAACAAGAAATGAAATAAAGAACACAATGAATTAACACTGTCACTCAATTTTGTTATCTAGAAGGGTCGGAGAAATAATCAATAAATAGCCAAAACCAGTTTCCTCCCCTTCTTGCAGTCTCACCACCACCCCTCCCCCCTAAACCGGGAGGCCCAACACTTTGTCCTTGAAACACCCACGTCCTTTGTACCCCTATGAAACAATAAACCCTTACACCCGTGTTGCTGTTTTGACAACAGGTTTATGAATGCGATCACTATTTTTCAATTTCCAGAATTAACTATCAATTATTATTATTTGCAAGTTACTGAAATAGGAAACTACATCACATTATGGTATTCAATGACCCATGTATTATTATCAAAAATTAATAATTCATTACTTATTTTGATAATAAAAAGCATTCACTACAGCACGCACCACTTATTGATAAATATAATCATCAAGGTAACTGTTACTTTATACAAAATAAAAAAGGTACAAAATTGTGTGGCCAGTCAAACTTTATGAAAAAGTAAACAAACAAGGAACAACGTTTACAGCCTTATTGTGTCGCCCACTACATTTGCTCACGTGACCACTTTTTGTTTCTTCCTTATCTTTCATCCGTCCCAAAATAGAATTCCTGAAATTGTTTGTTGGTATAATCTTCCCTCCCACACAAGGCGCAGTGCTCAGCGCTCACTGTAGGTTGTCATGGCAACCGTGTGTCGTCATAGCGACAAGCCAATCACGCACTCGCACTGCGTTGTATATTACGATACGAATAGCTGTTAGAAAGACAACGCAATAGGTGGTCGTTTGTCTCTTTCCTATCTCCTCAAAATTACGATCGATAATCATTGCGTCTTGACTGAGCTGAGGTTCGTGCTTATCAAACCTCGAATGCATGAACAACGTAGAATTGTGATAACATTGTTTTCAATTATGACACAAATTAAGTGTTTTGACTTTGTATTAAAAGCTCGGCTCGAACTTCGAGCTTTTTCAAAACGCCTCGAGCCGAGCCGAATAATGAAAAGCTCGACCAAAAAGCTCGAAGATTCGAGTACTCGCACACCCCTAAAAATAATTTTAGCTTAGTATAGAGTAAATAAATTTGCCTAGTTTTATTCAAATACATCACTAAAAAACCAAACTAAACCGTTTACTTATTTTCCATAAGAACAACATGGGAATTTTACATTGACAACTTTTAGAAATTTCTCCGTAACAAAAGAAATTAAAAAAACACACTTCAGTATACTAAATTATTTGCTTTTCCTGCTCTTTATGCTTTCAAAATTTCATGTTTTGAGGTTAAAAAAATGATATGCATTTTTACCCCATAAAACTCATACCATCCTGTTCCCATGGTCCGGTCATGCTGCTTCGCAAACTCATTTAAGTTTATCCCGCCTTACACCTTTAAACCAAATTTCATCAAAATCGGACAAAAATTACTCAAGTCATCGCGTTCACGGGTGTATACATATGTATATTAATCTATATTCAAAAATTTGAACAGATTGTGTTTTTTCCCAGGGACATCAAAATGAAAAAGTATATCGGTACCGGGTCTAGGTCTTCCCGTGCCTACGGTAATAGCTACTTCCCTATAGGGAAATTCGCTTAACACCAGATCTTTGTTGCAAATTGAGAGAAGGGAACTTTCCCACTGGTGGATAACCCCCAACCTAAACCTAAATAAATAATCAGGTAATCCTACCCCTACACAGCAGGCTTTTGTTAACATAGAATTATTTGTTTGGTATAATATTCAGTTGTGACTTAGTGATAGGGACTAAAACCATTGACTAGACAGCCCATTCTTCTTCCTACTTCAGCACCCTACAAGAACAATAACAGACTTTACGACTGATGAAATGAAATGTGTTAATTGTCTTGTGAATTTATACAAATTATTGACAATGTCAGAAAACTGCTAAAATTAGCATAGTCAGTTAATGAATACAATATTTACAAGAATACTACACACAAGGAGATATGTTACAATACATACTTTAATATTACAACCAAATAATCTTATTGTTAAGGAAAATGCAAGGCATTTGGAATAATGGAAGTTATTAAACCCCATAACCAACTAAATCCAACAGTAATTTGGTAGATTTGCTAGCTCTACTTAAAAATTAATAAAAGGCATTTCAAAAAATCTTTTAGAGAATAAAAAGGGTTGTTCAAAAGCCATTTGTGGAATTTAGATTTAAAAGTTTTTTTAGGATATTTTGTTATTAAATGTATTAGCTTGTTGTATATTTTTAGTGAGATTACAATATGACTTTTAAGAGTTTTAGACAGTCTAAAAAAATCTATGGTAGCAATAGCAACGTTTTTATTCCTTGTATTATGAACGTGAGAATTTTGTTTGATAAGGTCGGGATTATTTAGAATATATGATACAGAGTCAAATATACTAGGTGGCGTTCGCAGAGGCATCCACAAAATTGAGCGGAGTCATCAAGGGTTAATATTATATTGTTTTTGTCATACTGCAGTAAAAACAGTAGTTTTAATGCATGCGTTGCGGGTCTACAGTAGCATTTTAATTCTTTAGGGAGCCAAAATCGTTTTTAGCCTCTATTGAGTAAAAATCAGCTGTTGTCAACTCAGTTGTAATTTTCTATTGTAAACGATTGCATGTATCGAAATATGTATCGATTTGTGCTTTGTAATCATTTTAGCCTACAGTCTACAGTCTCTTCCCATAGCGTTTTAGCATTGCAGATACATTAATCCATTCCCACACTCAACACTGCTCACCTTTACTACTTCCTTCACCACCCCCTACGTCGTGGTCCTGTTTCACTCTCTTCCCATAGAATTTTAAGATTGTAGATACCTTAATCTAATCGTCATAAACAGTCCCCACTCTCCGAACAGCTCGCCTTGACTACTTCCTTCACCACTTCCTATGTCTCGGACCTGTTTCCCTCCCTTCCCCTAGCATTTTAGGATTCCAGATCCCTTAATCTAATCGTCATAAACAGTTTCCACACTCCGGACTGCTCGCATTTACTACTTCCTCCACCACTTCCTACGTCACGGATCTGTTTCCCTCCCTTCCCATAGCGTTTAGGATTGCAGATACCTTAATCTAATCGTCATTCGTCATAAAAAGTTCCCACACTCCGGACTGCTCGCCTCTACTACTTCCTTCACCACTTCCTACGTCATGGACCTGTTTACCTCCCTTCCCATTATTGGATTGCAAATACCTTAATCTATTGGTCATAAACAGATCCCACACTCAGAAGAACTCACCTTTACTACTTCCTTCACCACTTCCTACGTCACGGACCTGTTTCCCACCCATAGCATTTTCGGATTGCAGATACCTTAATCTAATCGTCACAAACAGTTCCCACAGTCCGGACTGCTTGCCTTTACTACTTCCTTCACCACTTCCTACGTCACGGACCTGTTTCCCTCCCTTCCCATAGCATCATATGATACCTTAATCTAATGGTCATAAACAGATCCCATACCCCAAACAGCTCGCCTTTACTACTTCTTTCACCACCTGTTTCCTTTAGGATTACATTGTATTTTAGGATTGCAGATACCTTAATTTAACCATCATAAACAGTTCCCAAAATCCGGACAGCTCGCCTTGACTACTTCCTTCACCACTTCCTACGTCGCAGACCCGTTTTCCTCCCTTCCCATACAATTTTAGGAATGCATATACCTAAATCTAATCGTCATAAACAGTTTCCACGGGTCCGCGGAATTGGCTAACTCTGGAACTCACTAACCCCATGTTAAACGCCCTATCTTCAAATTTGGTCGATGAGAGGAACTCGCTAACTTGTTCGGTTTCGGAATTGGCTAACTCCGGAACCCGCTAACCCGCTCTAGAGCCGGGTTAGCGAATTCCGTCCTTGTACGGAAGTCGCTAACTCGGTCCCTCGGCGGAACTCGCTAACTCCCAATCAGAAGCCTCGCGGGCCGTCCAATGGGAGCCAAGCACGAATATTTTTGGCCAGTGTTGCCGAAAGTGTAGTACCTATATCGTATCGGTACCATAATGTCGTATCCTACGATTA